AGGGCACATGTGAATCTCTCTGAATGTGGAATATGAATGCCTTAACACAATAAGAAAATGACATGAAGGCTATGTTAACCAGTTGGATGAAAGTATTTCAAAATGTATACAGAAACAGCACACTGTACCCCATGATAGTATTAATGTACACAGCTATGACTTAATTAAAAAAAAAAAGAACTTGAGCCAGGACCTGAAGGCTCCACAAGATTTCAATAGGGAGACACACGGAAGGACATATTCCAAGCAGAAAGAACAGTCCAGTATGAAAAGAAAGGGGCATATTGGAGAGATAAATTAGTCTGTCAGACTAATGTTAAAAACAAAAAAACAAAAAAAAAAACCTTGCAATCTGGTCATTGAGGGCTTACAAAAGATTTCCTATTTCATCAAATTTTGTAATATAAGATTTCATCAAGTTTTGTAATATAAGCAAGAAGCAGAATGAAATTTAGCTGTAATTCTTTTAAATTTTATTTATTTAGACAGAGTCTCACTCTGTCACACTGGGTAGAGTGCTATGGCATCATAGGGCTCAAGTGATCCTCTTGCCTCCCAAGTAGCCAGGACGACAGGTGCCCACCACAATCTCTGGCTATTTTTAGAGATGGGCATCCTGCTTTTACTCAGGCTGGTCTTGAACTCCTGAGCTCAGGCAATCCACCTGCCTCAAACTCCCAGAGTGCTAGGATTACAGGTGTGAGCAACTGTGCCTGGTCAATTGATGGTTTCTTAAAACTAAGCAAACAGGTGATGCCAGTAACAGTTGGCCATGAGAACTCAATTCTTCAGTAGTCATAGTCCCTCAGGTGTCTGAGTTTCAGAGATTTCAATAGATTTGACCATGGTATGATGAACACCCTACAAGCCAGGCAATGTTCCCATCCCTGCTTGAATTAGGAGAACTCTCACAATGATTTCACAAAGTTCATACCCCACCCGATCACCTCAGCACAACTTTCTGATGGTATGAAGTCCAGAAGGTCAATTCATCCTTTGATGTCACCTGATGTACACCAGTGTCACTCTGATCTGGGCCATGCCTGAATATTCCACATCATCAATCAAGCAGATCCAACTAACCTGGAATTTGAACACCAGATGGGGTACAGTTCCTCACCCTTACAGGGCTCTGGCTAACCACAGCAGATACACCTCCAAATCCACTTTATAGCAGTTGTTTGGGAATAAGAGAAAAGTCATTACGCAAATGTAAGTGATTCAAAACAGTTTAGTCTTAAGAAGATCGTGTCAGATATCTAGCAGAGAAATGGGAAGCTGAACTGTTGTTCTGGGAGTTCAAACTGCGCCCTTCAGTGTGATGCTATTTGACTGACAGCTGATTACCATGAGGCCTCAGGAGCAATCTTTATTTGTTAACATAACTCACCACTGATGATGGAGGGTAACTGAGAGCCAGGCACCTGAGTCTCATTTAATTTAATCACAACCAAACCTGAGGTATGGCTGTTATTCTCTCCATTGTAATAATGAAGGAATTGGGGCTTTTAAGAGAGTGAGCAACCTGGCCAAGGCCATCCAGCCAAGAAGGGTTAGTCAACATGGGAATGAGAGGTTTATCACCAGACTATCTTGTCTTCTGCTACTAACTACTTTTACAAAGAGAGAAACTTACTGCATAGGTTATGAGACACTGAAATGACATTTCAAATCAAAATTCTCAATGTCTCATTCAGACAACAAATAGTGAAGTGATTCTATACCCTCAAAGGACAACTACAAAAAAGTACTTGGAAAATAAATATTTAATAAAAGTGTAGCTGTAATTATGATGTTAATATCTTTATAGTGCCTTTGCAAGAATTCTTTCCATCATTTTCACATTCAGACTAAAAATCACTTTACACTGTACTCTTCGAGTGGGTTTAAACCATTGTTAAATATATATATTTTTGAGACAACATATCACTTTGTCACCCCTTGTAGAGTGCCATGGTATCATAGCTCACAGCAATCTCAAACTCTTGGGCTTAAGTCTCAGCCTTCCAAGTAGCTGGGACTACAGGTCCCCCCCACAAGGCCTGGCTGTTTTTAGAGACGAGGTCTGGCTCTGGCTCAGGCTGGTCTTGAACTCATGAACTCAGGCAATCATCTACTTTGACCTCCCACAGTGCTAGGATTATAAGCATGAGCCACCACACCCGGTCTCACTGTTAAATATTTCACAAGAAATATTTTCATATCTACATTAACATATTTTTAAGTTTAATGTAAACCAAACTTCATAAGGTTTTCATATTCATTTTCTTCTGGCACATTCTGCAAAAGAACACTGTGTGCCCATTTTTGAGATAACAGAAGCTAAAATAATATGATTAGAAGAGACTTAAAGAGAAGAAAAATGCATGCAGGGGGAGTTAGCAAACCAGCCAAGGATGGAATAGCTCCCCAGGTCTTCAGAGGGGAAGACGAGGGGACCATAAACCAGCAAGGGCCACCCGCCTATTATCCAGCTTAGAAAGGTGCACACCTCTGACGGCAGCTGAATTGAAGTCTAGCGTGGCACGTTCAGAAAATGGCATCAAAGGTTGGACTATAAATCTTTCTTATTCTCAAGTCAGGGGACATTTAAGAGCAGAGATATTGATGGGCTCTTTCTCTCCTGTTCTTTTTCCTTCTAACAGATGTGTGATTCATGGGTTGTCCTTTAGTGGGCTCCATTTTCATCTTAGTCCTTTTTCTTTGCTTCTGCTTTCTGACAGCTCTGAAAAACAAGGTGCTAAATTATTTCATAGAATGAGCACAGTGAATTATGTAATTATGTTGAAGTTTAATTAACTAGCCAACCAAATTCAAAAATGGAAGAAGGAGAAGAATTTACTGTGTCACGGCATAAATCCTCAGTATCCTGACCATAACAAGCAGAAAACAGTCAGGGGCCTAACCAGGCAAAATGTAGGAGAAAAAAAATTTCCTTAAAAGATGGTTACTATGGATTTAGAACATGCTATTTGGGATGCACACGCCACACAAGTAAAGAGCATAGCCGGTAAGTTGGTTTCATTTTTTTATTTGTTTTATATATATTTTTGGTACCTCCATACTGCTCAAGTCAGCATGTCAAGCTCAAGATCCCTGAATTACATTTGTTAGGAGCGGGACTGATACGTTTGGCAGGTAGGAGAGGTAGAAAAATGAAATAGCATGATGAAAAAAACTAACATACTTGAAAGGGCCTTATTTTATAGACCCTCCAGATATCCCTTTCCTCAGTAGATCTAAATGTCCTGACAGGTGCCACAGAGGAAGTTCACATTTTGTGGTCCACATCTTCTTGAAGACTAGCTCCGGAATGAAGAAACTGGAACTCACCCTCTAAAAACACTAAACCACACCATACAAAACACATCCTTTATCTCTGGTATTCTCTGAGCTAGTTATAGGCAACCTGTGGCTGATAAAGACTGCTGGTTCATCCTCCGTCCTCCTCCAAGCTAGCAGCATCATTTATATCGAGAACCCAGGGACAGGCTGGGGCTGAGGGTACTGGCAAACCTGGAAACTTCCGTGGCTACCCAGCACCATCAATCATCAGAATCACCTCTCAGAAGCCTCAATACGCTTTTCCCAGGGGAAAGCTTATTTCTGATCTTCCTAGGACAAAAACTGGGGAAAGAGCTTCATAAACAGCATATAAACTCCTAATGGGTCAAACTCGTGGATTACCCTGTATTTACTCTGCATATACATTACATGTTGGGAATATAAAAATGAATAGGCATAATAATCTTTGACTTCAAAGAGGTGGGAGACAGATGTCACCCTTCTCCCCAACTTTTTAGAGGTGAAGAAACTGAGGCTATGAAGTCTATGATCCCAGTGAGGAGAGGCAGAAGCAGCTTGATTCCAGTGTTTCTAATGCCCTGGAAACCGCATACTGTATCATAAAGTATTCTGCTATGTAAAATGCTATTCATATAGTAATCACCTAATAACTGTTAGCTGTTATCAGTAGATCCACATGACCATGATGCAGAATTTCTGCCTGACAAGTTGACATTTTTCTATATTGGTATGTTGCACTACAGACTAGGATACCCTACTTGTTCAAAATAAAACAGTTGTGTTTATGCCAATTCATGCATGCTATATAAATTTGTTTTCTGTAGCCATTTTCTTAAAGTAGGATAATTTCTGGGTAAGTGATGATTGAACAAATTTAATGAAGTATAGTATAATTTCTTTTTTTTTTTAGACAGAGTCTCACTCAGTTGCCCTGGGTAGAGTACTGTGGTATCATCATAGCTCACTGCAACCTCAAACTCTTAAGCTCAAGTGATCTTCTTGTCTCAGCTTCCCAAGTAGCTGGGACTACAGGCACCCACCACAATGCCTGGCAAATTTTTGGTTTTAGTAGAGACAGGCTTGTCTTGCTCAGGCTGATTTCAAACTCTTGAGCTCAAGCAATCAGCCTGTCTTGGCCTCCCAGAGTGCTCGGATTACAGGTGTGAACCACTCTGCGCAGCCAATAGTATAATTTCTAATGACAGAGTCAATGAAGCCATGAATGTCTGTATACAAAAATTTAAATTTCTCTTCAGCTCAGCCACCCATGAGGAGGACTAAAAATAAACCAGATTTCACTAGGAGGTACATTTATAAAAAGAAGAAAAAGAAAAAAGGACAAAAATTGAAAATACTTATTTGTAATATAAGTATATAAAACTTTCCAGAGACAGCCTTTGAACAGTGATGAAATGATTATTAGTCAATTAAAGTTTTAGTTTGCTTTAAAATTAAATTGACCTCGTATTTGTCCTCTACATTAAGTATTTACGTCTGGATAAAATGAGCTTTAACCACAAGAGGGAGCCAGCATCATTCCAGTTCACAACTAAAGAACAATTAACACTGAGGAAAAACAAATTAATGTAAGACAGCTGTAAAAGGGGGAGGCTGGAGAGACCTTGTGTGCCATGTGTGCTTAAAAGGCTATCACAATGACTTTTCACTATTGTAAAGAAAAAAAATTGGCCTTGTCAATTTTATCATAACATTTTTTTGAATGCAAAAACTGTTAATGGGACTTCAGGGTCTTCTCTGAGAAAAACAAGTAATATAGCATTAGCAGGCATTTGTATCTCAAGGTACTTGCTTTTGAAATTAAACCCAACAAAATCTCATTCTGAAAGATAAAGCTCTTTGACACATCTGTGCATCCTCAGTCCCCCCATCTGTGCAAATAGTACGAAATAGTGAGAGTCACAATTAACACAGCACTTCTGAACCCTCAGACTGCCGCACACCCTTATGGCTTGCTCTAAACAAAGCACCTGAGGAAAACTTTTTTTTTTAGTCAATGAAAGGATTTGACTAACCTGTTAGGACAAGCACTGCGTTTGTGATCCAGTTCTCCACAGATAAAGCAGCCGTCTTTGGGGTCCTTGCAAGTATGACCTGGAAGGGCACAGTTATTGCAAACGCTACAGTGGCTCCAGGCTGTAAAATAAAAATCAGGTTTTAAAAGAAGTTGATTTTGGTAGAATTTTTCCGTTTACAAGCTTTTAAGACAGGCTACGTGAATAGTGTTTAACTTCAAATGTTGTGGCTACTTTGCATAACTAGTTTTCAAGTGGCTAAGGAGACCGAGATGAAGAAGTCAGAATCCCACATAAACTAGCTTTTTTCTGTTACACAGCAATAAATTCAGCCCGTCTCCACTGAGTCATGAGCTGACAACTACTGTTACAATGGAGGCTGGCTGAGTGACACAAAGCCCTATTACAATCAGTCAAACCAACGCCACCCTGAAACAAGTCAGCAGTCCTCTCTCCCCATGCAGGACGGAACATACATGTGGGTAACTAAAAAAGCAAATAAATTATTGCAGGTCTCCATATTAATCATTTTTTCTTTATAAATTAAATAAAAATCCTATTTAGATGGAGAAGAACTCTAAATTGCTTTCATAGGATTCAAACACTCCCATTACTTACAAGGCTTTACACACTTTTTGCAGAGAAAGCAATGGCTCCATTTCCTGCCATCCTACAAAAACAATTTTTAAACTATCTTTAATTTGTTATTAAAAATCAAGTTCCACGATTAAAAATTAAAATGTCTTATTAAAATCTGTGTAAATTATTCATCCCTTATTTCTCTCTTTTCTGGGCTTGACAATTAAATACTTTGATTTTAATTTATGCATGTCTCCACTCAACTCAAATGCCTTCTTGATGGGCAGCAATTTCCTTAACTATAAAGCTAGGAAATTTATCTAAATGATCTTGAAAATCCACTCCAGTTCAAGCAACTCAGAAAAGACTCAAATGAAAATTTCAAGAGAATTAATGATTCATAATTATATGTGTCTATACTGAATAATCCTTAATGAAATTCATATTTGAGAACTTTATATAATTTAGAAAGATAGATATTACAGATTACTGTTTGAATAAAATTTTAAAACTATGAAATGCAACATATCTAGAAAAGTAGAAATAGCATGTATGTCCAATTGAATGAGTATTATAAAGCAAACACAGATGAAAACCACCAGATCGAGAAACAGATTACCACCGGCCCCCTAAAACCTTCCCTTATAACTCTGTACATCTCTGAGAATTTTTTGTTTTCCTCAATTTTATTTTATTTATTTATTTATTTTTTTTTTTTTTTAGACAGAGCCTCAAGCTATCCATCCCCCTGGGTAGAATGCCGTGGCATTACAGTTCACAGCAACCTC